GCGCAGTGTCACTACTTGACAGAGCTTGAGAGCTGGGACATATCCACGGCATTTCTTCAGGGCCTATCGTTCGATGAGTTGAGGAAGCGCTCGAAGGAGCTAAAGTTATCGTGTACCACGGTCAGGAAGGTCTACCTCAATCCTCCGGCCAACGTGTGGCGACACCTCGCGGACATCAAGGGCAGCTCTGTGGTGGTACGGCCAGTGGATTATGGTCTGTTCTTGTTGGAACTGCTCAAGCCTATGTACGGACTGGTGGATGCACCTCACTTGTGGCAGATCGCTCTCACGTTATTTCTGGTTTCCCATCTTGAAGCACGTATCAGCCTGTGGGACGACAATTTTGTGTACTGGACAGTGAAGGACATAGATATACTTCGACGGCGACACCCTCATAGAGCACAAGAATGTGGAGTTTCAGAGAGCTTGCTCATATCCATGACGGACAAGTTGGCGGCGTGTCTATCAATACATGTGGACGATCTCTTATCAGAATCGAGACAGCAAATATTGAATTTCTTGCGTCAACTGCTGGAGACTAAATTCGGAGCGGTCAAGCGGCAGCAGTTACCCTTCACTCACAACGGAGCTCAGTACAGCAGGCTGGAGAATGACAGTGTTTTGATTCAGCAGACGCAGAACTTGGCCAACATCAAACCATGTGAAGTACCTCCTCTTGGCGATGATCAGTTGGTATCGGCTCAGCACATACACGGGTTCAGGAGTATTTTGACCAGCATGTTGTTTTTATGTCAATGCAATGTACATATCCTGACGGAAGTTACTCAACTGCAGGGTTTCAACAACGAGCCGAAAGTTATGCACCTCAAGCGAGCGAATGCAGTATTGAAGAAGGCGCAGAATGACAATCAACTTCTTGGACTTCACTACCCTCGGCTTCGAGGACCTTTCTGCCTGCGGGCAATTGGCGACGCTAATCATACTACGAAAACGAGTGTGTACCCTCAAGAAGGACAAGCTATTCTTCTCATGAGTGATGTTCCTATGTTGGTTGACCCCAAGACAGACATTGTCACGGACAAGAGTTGCCTCAGTGGTTATTGTCACCCGATGGCTATTCTCTCGAACAAGGCGAAGAAGGTGGCTCACTCGACCTCCATGGGCGAAACCAACTGTGCGCTGAGCGTGGTGAGCAATGCCCAGATGATAGCTTTACGGATCACGGAAATGCAGATGGACGAACACATACCTCAGAAAGACAGGATACGCAAGATGATGGACATCAACACGGTCGGAGCTTATGAGATTCCCCTGGATCACTGGACGGACTGCAAGGACGTATTCGAGCTGGTGACCGGACTCAAAGGAGTTCCTCAGGATAAGTTACAACGCCTTCCCATCATGGCCTTGAGGGAAGAAAGGATTACAACCAGAATCAGGTGGACATTACATGTACCGACGGAGATCATGGTCGCGGATGCTATGACAAAGCCGGGAGTCTTCAGGCAGATGATGAAGTTGCTCACGACCGGCTATCTTGATATGGAAATGGTTCAGAAGAATGCTACGGCGAGACGAATATGACACAGGCCAGATACGTATTCAGAGAGCGACCTGGAGAGCATCATCAAGTTCGACTGGGTCGACCAGATACACGTGAGTATGGCGCTGCAGGCGCGATCAGATCCTCATCTTTCCTGATCTCCTCTTCCTCTCTCGAGCTGGAGCTGAAAACCAGTGTTTTTTAGATGCGACTTTTCCCTTGGACTTTTTACAACAGCCCTTAGAAAGTAGAATGAGACTGAGAATATCAGCTTATGTCAGTTTCACATGCAAGGTAGCAGCAGACAGTGATAGACAGCAGTGGACTGTAACTATTAGGGCTCAGGGTTTTGCGCATTCAGAACTAAACATCTCAGTGGGGGGAGGGGGGAGGGGGAGGGGGCGGAGAGGAGGAGGAGGAGGAGGAGGAGGAGGAGGAGGAGGAGGAGGAGGCGGAGCGGAGGAAGCGGAGGAGGAGGAGGAGGAGGAGGAGGAGGAGGAGGAGGAGGAGGAAGAGGAGGGGAGGGAGGAGGAGGAGGAGGAGAGGAGGAGGAGGAGGAGGGGGAGGGAGGAGGGAGGAGGGAGGAGGGAGGAGGGAGGAGGGAGGAGGAGGAGGAGGAGGAAGAGGGAGGAGGGAGGATTAGGTTAGGTTAGGCACGCCACTAGACTCGCCACCCCGCGCTGACACCGAGGCCCCAGCGCGACATGGCGAGCCCGTGGTTTATCCATCAGTCTCTTCCACCGCCGCCCGCTGGCCCATTTCCCAGCGGGGGCCCACTCCCAGGTGCCAAGGTCGCGGGCACTCTGGGGTTCACGCACGGCGATCGGGCGGCGGCGGCGGCGACAGGCGCACAGGGCTGCGCCTGTGTCACGCCGCTGGCGGGCGACGGGCCTGGAGCCTCGTCGTCCTCATCGTAGAGCTCTAGCTCGATGTAGTCGGCGGGCTGTACCAATGCCAACCTGCTCGAACTCGAAGCAACCCCCCTGCGGCCTAACGCCTCGCCGCGCTGGGGAATTTTGCGGCCTAGCCCCTCGGAGAGCGGTGCGCATCTGGGTCGAGTCCGGGGAGTCCGGGGAGTCCGGGGAGTCCGGGGAGTCCGGGGAGTCCGGGGAATCCGGGGGAGTCCGGGGAGTCCGGGGAGTCCGGGGAGTCCAGGGAGTCCGGGGAGTCCGGGGAGTCCGGGGAGTCCGGGGGAAGCCGGGGAGTCCGGGGAGTCCGGGGAGTCCGGGGGAGTCCGGGGAGGCCGGGGAGTCCGGGGAGTCCGGGGAGTCCGGGGGAGTCCGGGGAGTCCCGGGGAGTCCGGGGAGTCCGGGGAGGGGGAGTCCGGGGAGTCCGGGGAGTCCGGGGAGTCCGGGGAGTCCGGGGAGTCCGGGGAGTCCGGGGAGTCCGGGGAGTCCGGGGAGTCCGGGGAGTCCGGGGAGTCCGGGGGGGTCTGGGGAGTCCGGGGAGTCCAGGGAGTCCGGGGAGTCCGGGGAGTCCGGGGAGTCCGGGGGAGTCCGGGGAGTCCGGGGGAGTCCGGGGAGTCCAGGGAGTCCGGGGAGTCCGGGGAGTCCAAGGAGTCCCGTCATCAGCATCAGCATCAGCATCAGCATCAGCATCAGCATCAGCATCATCATCATCATCATCATCATCATCATCATCATCATCATCATCATCATCATCATCATCATCATCATCATCATCATCAGCATCAGCATCAGCATCAGCATCAGCATCAGCATCATCATCAGCAGCAGCAGCAGCATCATAATCAGAATCATCATCATTATCAGCAGCATCATCATCATCAGCATCATCATCCTCACCGCCATCCTCGTCGTCGCCCTCCGAAAGATCACCATCACCATCATCAACCCTATCATCATCATGATCATCACAATCGTCACAATCAGCATCATCCCCATCGGCGCCGTCGTCATCATCATTCGTCCTCCTCGTCCTCCTCGTCCCCCTTGTCCTCCTCGTCCTCCACGTCCTCTTCGTCCTCCTCCTCCTCTTCCTCCTCCTCCTCCTCCTCCTCTTCCTCCTCCTCCTCCTCCTCCTCCTCCTCGTTCTCCCGTTTGTCATTGTCGTCGTCCTCCTCCTGCTCCTCGTTCTTCTGTTTCACCTCCTTCTCCTCCTCCTCCTTCTCCTCCTCCTCCGCCTCCTCCTCCTCCTCCTCCTCCTCCTATTCCTCCTCCCCCTCGTACTCACATTTGTCATCGTCGTCGTCCTCCTCCTGCTCCTCGTCCGTTCTTCTGTTTCACTTATTCATCCTCCTCCTCCCCCTCCTCCTCCTCCTCGTCGTCCTCCTCCTCCTCCTCCTCCGATTCAGTGCCCTCCTTGCCTGGGGCTTCTCCTCTTTAGAACGCGTGCGACTCCGCCGAGAAACGCTCCGCAGGACAACCTCGTAGTGTTAATGCTGGCCAACCTGCCGAGCCACGCCCAGCCGTGGCGACGAGAATGGTTGGACAACGATTCCGACCACGACGACGACGACGACCACGACGACGACGACGACGACAAAGATGACGGAAACCACAAAGGCGACGACGGCGACGACGACGACGGTGTCGTCGCCAGCGACGCGCTCCCGGGGGTGGGCTTGGGGAGGGAATGAGGGCAGGGGGAGGGCCCTTCTGTCAATGGTTTTTCCTCGACAGCAAGAGTGGGTGACCCTAACTCGGATGACTGCGCACCAGCGCCGCAAGGCAGCGCCGCAGCGTGAAAAGGAGTAGTAAAAGGTGGGTGCAAACTCGCACACGTCATTGAAAAGAGCCCTGAAACGATGCGGCATGATTGGAGGTTGGGGAAAAATCGCGTGGAACGGAAAGCCCCCCACCGGGAAATCGGCATCGGTGTCGTGTTCGTGTCGTGTGTGCGGGCGAGTCGAGGCCGCTTGGGCTGGCGAGAGGAATGCTGGGCTGAATATTGCCCGCCCACGGCTGGCCGGCGATGCCCCGCAGGTGTCCCGCGCGTGTCCCGTGGGTTTCCCGTGGTGTATCGCGGTGTCCCGCGGTGGCCCGCGATTGTCCCGCGGGTGTCCGGGGGGGTGTCCCCTGGTGTTTATATGCTGCTGTGCAATGCTATGCTGCGCTATGCCAAGCAACGCTATGCTATGCGATGCTATTCTATGCGATGCTACGCGATGCTATGCTATGAGGTGCCATGCGATGCTTGAACTCCAATTGGCCCCCTTCCCACACCCCAACCTAATTATCCCCCGAAGGGTGTTCGCCGATCCGAACGGACAGCGCCCGCGCAAGAGCCCGCGCAAAGGCAAGCGAGAGAGACGCAGCCAGAGTGCACTGGGGGCGTCTTGGGGGCATCCGGCGGGCCTCTTCTGGATAAGCTTCGTTTCTGGGTGGGCTGGTGAGGATGCGGGAAGCATGGGGCATTCGCCCTTGAGGGCCCTGGCCGTCCCCCCCGGGAGTATGCATATAGAATGCGGCCGAATGCTACCAGGTATCGGCGCATGAGTGCATATCTGGGAAAATCAAGGACAAGTGAAACATGTCTACGGAGCTGATCTCACGCGTCGGAGCCAATCTACGTTTCGAAAATCCATCATTTCTGTCAAGAAGAAACGTGCGAACTCCTTCCCCATGGCGTTGACGTTCTCCCTGTAGCGCCCGAGGTCGCGAAATCGATGCTCACACGCATTGGCATTGACGCCAGCCAGCCGCGCGGCGTTGCCGGGCAAAGTCGGCGCGCAGTTCTCCAAACACCAGTTCCAGACGTGCCCCTTGGAGTGGAAGGGATCGGTGATGTAGCGCAGCTTGGCGATATTCGTTGCCATGTCGCTCTGGCCGTCTCTGAGGAGCGCGAACCGGCACAGGTGGCAGGCGTCGTCGTGAACCAGGACTTCGAGGCCAGGGAGCATGTCGCAGCAGCGTGCCACAAACATGTAGCGTTGGGTGATGCTCTCAGCCCCCATGAATTCGTCCAGGTGGACAATGCATCCAGACGCAGATATGGCGAAGAGCCAACCGCCACTCCGCGCGGTCATCCGTTTCGTCTTTATGTCTTCCTTGTGGGTTTTGCAAGAGCTTTGACCTAATGATTGCTCATCGCTGTGTTGGGACAAGTTCCCGCTGACAGCAATCGTGGACAGGTAAGCGTGAACGGCGGCAGCGTTGAGCTGGTCCGCTGGCAGCCACGCCCCGTTGAACTTGTAGCGGACCTCCAGCTCGAAGACTGGCCTGCCCGAGTCGGTGAGGGCGCTTTTCTGCCGATGCGAGAGGATATCGTAGGACCTCGCCCGCGGGCCAGGCAGGCCCGTTGCCGATGCATGAGCGGGGCAACGGGCAACTTGCCGGCGCGCCTTGAGCAGCGGTTCGCCGTCTTTAACGGCGTCGCCGCCATGCGGCGGCGGCGGTTCGCCGCCCTCAGCGGCGTCGCTGCCACGCGCGCCAGAGCGTTTCGTCTTCCCCGGCTGCTGCGCCGGGGTCTCGGAACAACAGCGCCACATTCCAAGGCCCAGCGATTTCGAATGGACACGCTCGCAATACGGATAACCGCAGACGCGGCGACGGAGCTTCTGGTTCCCATCCATGACTAATAATGTGGCGTCCTTCTCACCAGCGTGAAATTGCCTCGCCCTTTGGGCCTCCATTGCGCCGTGGTACCATGGGCCGATCCCGCGCAAGATACCAGGCGCAGGTACTGCAAGATCAATCGATCCGACAGAGTCCACTGGATCGGCGCCCGACTGAACGGCGCGGGCGTGGGCACGGACCAGTGCCCGCCAGAGAATCCACACTTTTGCCATGTAGTCATCTGACCGGGTCGGGACAAGGGAAGCCACGCCGCGCATTCTTGCAGTCCGGAGGTGCGTTTGGGCCTCCGACATGAAGCTGACGTGCTGGTAGGCAAGGCGGCAATGAAACTGCCGTAGCCATTCGGAAGAAAACCCAATGGTGGAGTTGAAGAAGAAGTACAACGGGTCGCCATCGTGGCAGTGCCAGTGCCGTGACGTCCCAATCTGGATGTAGTTGCACCAGACAGCGCGGTACTTGCGGCCGCAGCGCACATTGTGACAACGTTTGGGGAAGTGCACGATCTTCTTCCAGCCGCCCACCAGCAAGAGGATGCCCTCGCGGGAGCGAGCGGGCTCGCGGCGCAGCGCGGCCCTGCACTCAAAGCAAGAATCGGAAGAGGAACAAATTTCCATGGACGCCCGAAGCCTGCGCGCGCCGAAATCTCCGCCGAAAGCGGCTGGGCCCACGCGGCTACGGGCGACGGAGTTGGGAGGGGGGCAGTGGGCGCGAGTCAACTGGATGTTCTGCGTCGCGACTGCGCGCCGGGGCACGGGCAAACGCGCGTGCACCCCCCAGACTCGGCCGACGCGGGCGAAGCGAGACATGGTGGGCATGCTTTTTCACTCGCGCGGACGCCCGCATGAGATCCGCTGCAAACGACGGCCCGGCAGAAATGGAACAATGGGGCTGAAAACTGGGCCCGGCCCCGCAGCCGGCCCGGCGCGCTCGCGAGCGGAAAGCAGCCCGCGGCGTCCTCGCGCGCATTGGTGTCCTTACCCGCAACATCCCATGCCCCCTAGTGGGTCCACGGCGCGGGCCGCGCCGTCACCCGCGCAGCCCGCGCAAGCTGATCCGCGAGGTCACCGAACGGATTGCCGCCAGGCGCCGCGCCTGCGCTTGCGCCCGCTGCTGCGCCCGAAGCGCCCCCCGAAGTGGCGCAGGCCGCGGCGCCCTGGGGCGGCGCTGCGGGCGCGGGTCGGCCGCGGGGGGCCCTGTGATAGTCCCCGCCCCTCTCCTCGCGCTGCTTGATGACCTGGAGATGCTGCGAATAGCTGACCCGGCAACACTTCATCAACAGGTTGTGGTACTTCGCGACGGCCGTGCCGTCCTCGGGGTTCGGCAGGCGCAAGCGAACTGCCGCGCCGCGATCCCGCTCGGTCACCCAGCCCTGCGGGTCGAACTCGGCGACGTTGTAGAGGTCGAGGGCAGCTTTGACGACAATGGCGCACTGGTCAGACTTCAGGCCCATCGGCTTCGCGACCTGCGCGCTGGAGCCGTCGGGTTTCATCTTCACCGCATCGCACACCTTGCGCAGGCTTACCAGAGCCTCGCCACGGAGGAGGACGCGCTGCATCAACTGCCTGTCTGGCACCATGGTCACGCCGGGAATGGGCGTCTGCACCGACGCCCCGCCCACGCCGAAACCGACGTCCATCGCTGGGACGTCCGCGCCCGTGGGGAGGAGGCACTGAGGCGCGCCAGCCGCCCCGCGCGCAGCCGGTGCAGAGGCCGCAGGCGCGACCTGCGATCCACCCTCGCCCGCGCCGCCCGAAGGCTCTGCGGCTGCGGCGGCCGATGCCTCCGCGCGCGGCTCGCGCCCGGGCTGTGTCTGACTCGGCGCGTAGTCGAGGAAGCCCGCCTCCGCTGCCCCGTCGCTGGCAACAGGCGGGCCGCGAACCTGCTGCAGGCTAGCTTGTTCTTCGGCCACTTCGGCTCTGCGGAGGCGCTCCTCGGGCGTGTCCGCGCCCCTCCTGGGGTGCCAGCAAGAGCGAATGGCGTCCAGCACGGCAAAGAGCTTGTACGCCCGCACGACGTGCGTGTCCTCGATGAAGTCCGGGTAGTGCGGCCCCCGGATGCCTTCATCTACTTCCTCGGGCACGCCCTGCGCCGCGGGGACTTCCTCGCCTGCCGGGGCTTCTCCAGCGACGCCGTCGGGCCCGCCGGCGCCGGGCGCCGCGGGCGCCAGGGCGAGCTCTGGGGGCTCGCGCGCGCCGCGCCCGACTTCGAGGATGGCAAGGCCGGCAGAGAGCATGGCCAGGTGCCACGGGGCGATGCCGAGACGCGCGGACAGGGAGACCCTGTCTGCATTGCGCGCCTGGGCGCACCTGGCGTTGAAGATGGTGTGGAAGCCGCGCAAGGCCAAGAGCCCCTTCTTGGAGAAACCGAGCTGGATGCCCGGCGTCTCGAACATGTCGAGCACCCTCGCCGCGATGCTGTCCATGCTCTCGTTGGCGAGCACAGGGATGTCTCTGTTTGGCACCCGGAACGTCGGGCACCATTTGCCGGAAACCCTCTCGAAGCGAATGCGACTCTCCGTGCCGTCTGCGAACTGAACGCAATACCCTCCCCGGAATTGGCTGAAGCGCCCGCGGGCTCACGCGCCCCTGGCCCCGCTGGGGGCCAGCGGGTCCCTCGCGCCCGCGCTGCGGCCCTCTCAGTTTTTAAGGGGAACGGGGAACCATTCTCGCATCGCGGGGAAAATATCGCCCTGGGGCGCTTCTGCAAACACCGAGGCCTTCAACGTCAGGCAAGTACTCGTCGCCGCTCTGGGACTCGTGGGCATCGGCGTCCGAGCGAGGCACATCCCTGGCACGCGGGAGCGCGTTCGCGGCGATCTCCGGGACGTCCGCGCCCGGAGGAAACCCGAGCGGCTCCGCCATCGTCGACATGAGTTCGGGCCACGACCACTTATGGAAGCCCGAGGGCACGACGAAGTCGTCAGGAAGTGGCGCGTGGGGTTCGACCACGGGGGCAGTCAGGATGATTCAGCGCTCCCGCACAGCCACGCGGTGATTACCAAGTTCCCCCCTCTCCATGGGGGCGGCGATAGCTGGGTGGGCGTTCCCCGCGACGCCGAGGCATACACTTGCTCCTGTTTCTTGGCCGAATGACCCAGCCGTCTTCGTTGTGTAGGCGGCGACTCCTGTCTGGAACAGGCGATTGAAGTCGGACGCCAGGTCCGTGACTTCTAGGGAATCCTTCTTGCTGCCAGTGTCCGCGATCATCCCCAGCATCCGAAGCATCTTATACGCTTCGTCTAAATTCAACAGGGTCCCGTGGTTGGTCCGGGCGAGGTCGTCGTCATCAGGTTCGGGGTCTGGCGCGCCCTGCTCCTCCGAGCGCTTCGCGGGCACGTGCACTTGCTGGAAATCGGGCGCGCACCTCTCCCAGAAGGCAGCCTCCGTGAACTTGGCGAGCACAGAAGTCTTGGCCTTCGCTCCAGGGCCCATCGCAGCGCGTGCCCTCTTGTTGGCGCGCTTGTCCATGGCGCGCCCGAGCATCGCGACAACTGCTGTGATAGCTGACTTCCGGGTTTGTGGGTAGTTTGTGTTCAGAACAGCCATCATGAGCGGCGACGGGCTGTTGGGGAACACGCTGGCCCCGCCGCCGTTGGCCATGGAAATGCACCCCGCCATCATGGACATGGCGTATGGCAGCTCATGCTGAGATGCTCGCACCGCGTGTTTGGAAACGATGTCCGCCACAACGGAGCCTAAGATCTCTTCTGGGTCGAAGTGCTTGTCCACAACCTCCCATGCATCCTTCATATCATCGCTGAACTGCTGGACATTGGCTTGGGCGGTCATGAGCTCGAAGCACTGCGGCAATGCGCCGACCGCGTGTGATCGCAGGGGAGCGCCCTCCGAACCACTTGAGCACTAGCGGCAACGTAAACGTAACTATAAGCACACACTACAGATGATGAGGTGTTGGGGCAGATGTTTTTTGATTATGTATGCCGCAGATGACCTTTCTTGGGGAGTCCTGGGGAGTCTGGGGGGTCCGGGGGATTTCGGGGAGTCCGGGGAGCCCAGGGAGCCTGGGGAGTCCAGGGAGTCCGGGGAGTCCAGGGAGAGTCCGGGGAACCGGGAGGGTCCGGGGAACCTCCGAGGCTCTGGTAAGCCTCCGGCATGCGATGCGATGCTATGCTATGCGATGCCATACTATGCTACGCTATGCAATGCTACGCTATGCAATGCTACGCTATGCTATGCTATACTACGTTGTGCCACGCTCTGCGATGCGATGCGGTGCTGTGCTAAGCAATGTTATGCGATGTTTGCAACGCCGTGCTATGATATGATGTGATATGCTGCGCTATGCGATGCCTTGATGCGCTACGCAATATTACGCGATAGGTTGGTGTGCTGTGCAATGCGATGCTATACTGCGCAATGCCATGCGATGATATGCTATGCTATGCGATGTTATGTTATGCGGTGCTTATATATGCTATGCTATGCTATGCTGTAGCTCCAGTTGGCCCCTCCAGCCCACAACCCCCTTTATCACCCGAAGGGTGGTCGCATAGGGATATAAAACGGACGACAGGAGGAGGAGGAGGAGGAGGAGGAGGAGGAGAAGGAACAGCAGCAGCAGGAAGAAGAGGAGGAAGAGGAGAGGGGAGGAGGAAAAGGGCAGACAACACCATGACGTGGCAACCGAAAAGGTCGCAGCCGCATGCTGCGCAATGCAAGCGAAATCTGTCAGTATCCCTGGACACGTGCCGGTCAGGAAGACAAGGACGAACAGGACAGAGCTGACTCGCGCGCCCGTAGGCTGATCTGAATGGACGGCGCCCGCTAAGAAGCCCCCGCGGGAGCAAACGAGAGAGACGCAGCCAGAGTGCAGTGGGGGCGTTTTGGAGGCATATGGGGGCGATTCGGGGGCTTCTTCGGGGGCGTCTTGGGGGTGTCCTGGGAGCCTCTTGAGGGCGTGTTTGGGAGCCTCTTGGGGGCCTCTCTGGAGCTTCTTGGCGCCGCCCGGACACCTTCTGGGGCCTCTGGGGTCTCTTGGAGGCGCGCTGTGAGCCTCTAAGGGGGCTCGGAAGCCTCGGCAGCGCATCGGAGTCTCCCTGCCCCTCCCTTGTCCGCGTCAGGAAGACGAAAAGGGTTAGGATGGTCAAGATGATTGAGACGGCAGGGGGTTCCGAGGAATCAGAAGGTAAGAGGGCTGAGACCATAAGAGGATCAGACGGCAAGGTAGTAAGAGGGCTCAGAGGAAGAGAGCATCACGAGAGTAAGAGGGCAAGAGGAAAGGGGATGACGAAGGCAGAAAGGTAAGAGGGTAAGATGGTGACGACGGCGACTCCTCATCCTACCCCTGCCGTCACTATCGCTCCAATCGCAAAAAAAGCAAGAACGTCAATTTACGTTTTTGCTTCGCTTCTCCCTCTTCCGTCCCCCTGTACCTTCTTTCCGACGGCGGGGCCTGGAACGCGCGGCGATCTCCTCCCACACCCATCCATCCATGCATCTCTCCCTGCCCCCTTCCCCCCTCGCGTCGGGAAGGCGAGGACGGTGGGGATGTTCAAGATGATTAAGAGGGCACGGGCGTTACGAGGATTGGGGGGTAAGAGGGCTGAGAAGATAACAGCGTCAGACGACCGGATAGACATGGGGCTAAGAGAAAGAAATCATTTCGAGGGTAAGAGGTCAAGAGGAAAAGGGGATGACGAAGGCAAGAGGGTAAAAGGGTAAGGTGGTAAAGACGGTGACTCATCATCCTCCTCCTGCCGTCCGTATCGCGCCAATCGCAAAGGAAGCAATAACGTCAAGTTACGTTCTTGCTTCGCTTCTCCCCCCTCCTTCCCCGGGACCTTTTTTTTTCCGACGCCTGGGCCCGTCGCGCGTTTAGAAGGCAGGGGGGTGATGAGGATTGAGAGGGTAAGAAGGCCGAGACGATAAGATAATCAGGCGGCAAGATAGCAAGAGGGCCGAAGGGAAGAAAGCATTACGAGGGAAAGAGGGCAAGAGGAAAGGGGATGACGAAGGCATGAAAGTAAGACGGTCAGATGGTGAAGACGGTGGCTCTTTATCATCCTCCTGCAGTGCGTATCGATCAAATCGCAAAAAAAGCAAGAACGTCAATTTACGTTCTTGCTTCCTTGTGCCCCCCTCGTTCCCCCTGGGCATTCTTTCCGACGGCGGGGCCCGGAACGCGCGGCGATCGCCTCCCGCAGCCAACCATCCATGCATCTCTCCCTGCCCCTTTCCCCCTCCGCGTCAGGAAGGCGAGGAGGGCTAGGGCGGTCGAGATGAGTAAGATGGCATGGGCGCTGAGAAGGCTGAGAGGGTAAAGCGGCCGAAAGGATACGGGAGTCAAACGTCAGGGTGACAAGAAGGCTTACGAGGGTAAGAGGGCAAGAGGAAACGGGATGACGAAGGCAAGAGGGTAAAAGGGTAAGGTGGTAAAGGCGGTGACTCATTATCATCATCCTGCCGTCCGTATCGCGCCAAACTCAAAGGAAGCAATAACGTCAAGTTACGTTCTTGCTGCGCTTCCCCCCTCCTTCCACGGGACCTCTTTTTTTTCTCCAACGCCTGGGCCCGTCGCGCGTTTAGAAGGCAGGGGGTGATGAGGATTGAGATGGTGAAAAGGCTGACAAGATAAGAGAATCAGGCGGCCAGATAGCAAGAGGGCCGAAAAGGAAGAAAGCATCACGAGGGAAAGGGGGCAAGAAGAAAAGGGGATGACGAAGGCATGAAAGTAAGACGGTCAGATGGTGAAGACGGCGGCTCTTTATCATCCTCCTGCAGTGCGTATCGCTCCAATCGCAAAAAAAAAAATGTACGTTATTGCTTCCTTTTGCCGTCCTCCTTCCCCCTGTACCTTCTTTCCGACGATGGGACCCTGAACGCGCGGCGATCGCCTCCCGCAGCCAGCCATCCATGCATCTCTCCCTGCCCCCTCCCCCCCAGCGTCAGGAAGGCGAGGGGGGTTAGGGTGGTCAAGATGAATCAGATGGCATGGGCGCTGAGAAGGTTGAGAGGGTAAAACGGCCGAGAGGATAAGAGGGTCAAATGTCAGGATAGCAAGAAGGCTAAGAATAAGAAAGCACTACGAGGGTCACAGGGCAAGAGGAAACGGGATGACGAACGCAAGAAAGTAACAGGGACAGGTGGTAAGAACGGTGATTCTTCATCATCATCCTGCCGTCCGTATCGCGCCAATCGCAAAATAAACAAGAACGTCAATGTACGTTCATACTTTCCGTTTCCCCCCTCCTTCCCTCCGCGCATTCTTTCCGACCCCATGGGCCGGGCACGCATCAAAAGGGCGCAGGGTTAAGAGGATTGAGAGGGTAAGAGGGCTGAGAGGTTAAGAGGATCAGACGGGAAAAAACATTACGAAAGTAAAAAGGAAAGTGCAACAGTGGGTGAGGAAAGCAATACCATAGAAGGTAATCTGGCGAATGCAGTGAATCATGCTCAGGAGGATAATGGCGAGAGGGTAAGCTGAAGAACAGTGTCAATGCTGCTCAGGGGGTGTGAGGCTCAAATGGGCATGATGAGAAAAGGGAGTAAGACGGCAAGTGTGTGAATATGGTTTGAAGGGTTACTATGGGTAACGCAACGTGAAGGTAATATGGCAAAGAGGGTAATGCAATAACGTGAACACGACGGCAAACAGGTTGGTCTGGTAGAAAAGGGTAATTTGGTTCAGACGGCACCTGGGCAAGAGGGCAAGGAGGGCTCAAGTGTCAACGCTGTGAGAGGATCGGAGGGCATTTTGGCTATGTGAGCATAACGGTTGAGGATCGCTGGTGCACGAAATAATGTAGCAAATGGGCCAAGAAGGCGAATCAGGTAAGGTGGCTCGGACAAGGTGGGGTGAGAGAGTGATCGGGGCCATAATAGGGGTACGTGCCGGGGTGTGTAATCAATGC